ACACACACACACACACACACACACACACACACACACACACACACACACACACACACACACACACACACACACACACACGCCCACCTCTGCAGTTCGCCCATGCTGACGGACGAGTGGCGGGCCGGCTCCTCCTTCTCCGTTCCAAACGGAGCCGATGCAAGCGTGCTCATGGTGGTGATGGTGGTGGCGGCCAACGCATTGCCCGTCGTCACAGATCCACGACGCAGCCGTCGCCTGATGCGTTCGCGCAGTGGTGCGCGCTTCCGACTGCGCTCAGTGCTGCTGGCGGTGTTCGAAGCACCGGTGGTGGTGATGTTGGTACTTGATTGCGCTTGCTGGTTGGCTGACGCCTTCGCTTCCTCTTGCTGCTGCTGAAGAAGAAGTCGTTCGTGCTGCTGTTCGAGGCGCTTTTGCTCCTGCAGCAGCTGCTCGTGTTGTGGGAGTTGCTGTTGTTCCTGCTGCTCCTGCTGCTGCTGTTGTTGTTGCTCCTGCTGCTGCTGCTGTTCTTGGGCGTGTGTAGTGGGGGCTTGGAACACGTCTGCTGTAGCCACAGCGCCTCCCTGTGGCGGTGGCGACCGCTCTGCACGCGCAAAACGTGAACTCGTCTTCAACTGCAACAGCTCCTCCCTTGCAGCTGCATCGTCCCTCGCCGCGCCCTCAGCAGCTACTTCACCACTGTTCATGCTGCTTCCACCTCTTTCATCACCATCACCACCACGATCACCATCACCACCACGATCACCCCCAACATCGTCCTCCTCGGCATGCCCGTCCTCCTCTGCGTCGGAGAGCGCTGTTGGTGTCAGGAATGGCGTCGAATCAGCGCCGCCAACAGACACCTGCACCTCCACCGATTCCTGGGCACCGGGACCATCGCACACACGCACAACGCGGCCCGTGAGCTGTGGCGGGCTCACAGCACCATCGCCATCGTTGCCATGGCTGCCGTCTTGTGGCGCCAGGTTGGCACTGTTGGCAAGGCTGAGCGTGGCGTGGTCGCTGCCACTCGCTGTTGATGACGGGACTTCATTGACCGGTGACAGCTGCTTGCTGCGGTGCAATTCCTTTTGGTCCTGTTGCTGTTGCTCCTCCTTTTGGTGTTGGTGGTGATGGTCCTCCGCTTCGCTTGGCCGCGTGTCTTCGACGGCGGTTTCCCGCGACGAAACTGCTGACTGCTGCAAACCACCCGTGGTGATGGCTCCGTCAATCGATTCAATCACGCCAGGCGACACACCGGCACCAGCAGCACCGCCGTCATCATCATCATCATCACTGTGCTCGTCGTCATCATCGTCATCATCATCATCCTCATCATCATCATTGTCGTCGAAAGCGTGCGGCCAGTGCCGCGAGTCAATCAGCGCCGGGAAACGCGACGTTGGGATGTCGAGAAAGTGGTTCAGCAGCACGCGCTCCTCCATGTGCATCATGTAGCTGGCAAAGCACAGCAGGCGCACCACGCTCTTCACCCGCAGCAGCGTGCCGTAGTCGTCGTCGCCGCGCAGGATTAGCGTGCACGTCAGCGCAGGGTCGCACCCCTGTATCATTGTGTGTGTGTGTGTGTGTGTGTGTGTGTGTGTGTGTTGGCAGGTGAGTGAAATTGAACAAACTTGAAATGAGAGGTTGCGCGTACACACATGACTTTACACAGCAAACGTTGTGGGATGTCCACTGACACCACACAGGCACGCACGCGAGTGCGGTGAACAGACCTCAAAGAACGCCAGCGTCTTCTCTTCTCCATTCGCCAACTCAATCTTCCTCAGATGGAACAGTTCGCAAACGCCTGGACCAGGTGCAGCAAAGCGCGAACCATGAGTGCCAGTGAGCATTCATGAAGACGTGGTGGATGGGAGTTGATCACACATCCACACACACACACACACACACACACATGCGGAAGGCAGACTTTGAGTCAACTGGCATGTGCATGTCACACACGTACAGCCCACAGCACACACACACACATGCGCGTACCGAGCTGTGTTTGGATGAGTTCTTCGATGGAGCGGAGGATGACGGCGCCAGTGCAGCGGGCGAGCGCCGTCAGCACGTGCCTCTTCACATTCACCATCACGTTGATCCCGGCCTGAGGGGCGGTGTTGTGTGTGTGTGTGTGTGTGTGTGTGTGTGTGTGTGTGTGTGTGTGTGTGTGTGTGTGTGTGTGTGTGTGTGTGTGTGTCGTGTTGTGAGCGAATTATAGCTGAGTGAACTGTTTGTGTGGTGTGTCACTCGCAAGGGTGTCGTATGCATGAGCGCGTGTGCATGCGCAATTCGCTGCCGCCATTACGGCTGTACCTCTCGCAGTAGATCCTGGGCGACGCGGGCGACAGTGGCGCTCACAAGCACTGATTTCAGTCGCAGAAGAACAAAGACGAAGACGAAGACGAAGAGGAGGAGAACGGGGGGCAGTGAGTTGAAGGAAGCCAACCAAACGCGCATTCAAACAAACATACACAACCAAGCACACGCGTACACAAACAGGAGGGAGCGACAAGCGCAGCGAAACAGTGTGCGCGTGTGTGTGTGTGCGCGTGTGTGTGTGCGGGTACCGAGGTCTGGATGGCAGCGGCGGATGCGGGCGACGACGTTCTTGAGGAATTCCTGTTGACAGCAGCAGCGGCAGCAGTGACCACGCATGGAGACACAAGTTGGTGGCATGAAAGAGTGGGAGGAGCGTGCGCAGCGGATGGTGATATAGCGCATGCACACCGCATAACAACACACGTCCACCAAAGTATCGCACACTGACACACAATCGCAACCACAACCACAACCACACACAACCACACACAATATCACACACAACCACACACACACAACCACACACACACACACAACCACAACCACACACACACACACACAAATACACAAACACATATCAAGTTGAGCAAGCCATACCCTCTCTTGCAGGAGAAGGGCGTCCATACTCGCAAACTTGGAGGTGCCGCGACTGTCACATCGATGTGCCGACGGAACAGCAGCAGCATGAGGGTTGTGCGGGTGAGCAAAGGAGACGTATGGTGGCCATGGAGTTGAGCAGCGCACACAAGCATGGTCACACGTCAGGAAAACTTGCATGAACACGAACACACGCACACGCACAAACACGCACACACACGCACACACAATCACACACACACACAAAAAAAAAAAAAAAAAAAAAAAAAACACACGCCACACACACACACACACACGCGGTGCAGGGCACCTTGTAAACTCGACGGGAAAGTCGAGCATGAGCAAGCGCGGGCGCTTGATGCGCCGCCGCATGGCCTTATGGACGAGATTCTTGGTGAAGATGACGCCGCTGTGGTACGAGCACTCGCCAATGTCGCCCCCGGGCAGGCAGCGGATCTTCACGTACTTACGCACGTCCATCTGTCGCAAGTGGGAGAGGGTGGGGGTGGACGTGGAGGAGGGGGGGGGGGTAGCGGGATGGATGGATGGGCGGGGGTGACGTGAATGGATGGGTGAAGGATTGAAGGACAGCGGAGAAGTTAACCCTCCCAACGTGGTTTGGGGGAACAGCAGAGAGGCGGCGATGACAGACCAGAACCGCACACAGCCCATCAGCAATGCCGCCAAGCAAGGAAAGAGCAGGGAGAGCAGCCGCCACCACCACCACCACCACCACCACAACAACAACAACAACAACAACTACCACCACCACCGCTCATCGGCAAGTCGTGTACCTGGTCACCCATCTTGATGCGCGGGCAAATTGTGGACCCGACGCGCTCAATCAGAGGAAAGATGCACTGGCCCCAGCTCTCCGGCAACTTTGCGTCCTCCAGGCACTAGGGATGGCGACGATCATGATGGTGGTGGTGGTGGTGGTGGTGGTTGTGGTGGTTGTGGTGGTGGTGGTGGTGGTGGTGGTGAGCAAGACATTGGTGGAGAGACTGTGGCGAAGGAAACACAATCCAGAAGCGAAACCGCACGCACGCATGTCCACACATTTCACGTGCCCAACCGTTCACCGCGTCGTACCTGGTAAAGGAGCCTGTGCAGGTGGGCGAGGCTGGCAGCCCTGAACCGCTTGGTGGCGAGCACGCGCCCTCCTTGCTCCTGATCGACGGAGGACGCAGATATCACCTGGCATGCCACGTAGGTTGCGTGAATGCATGCAAGTGTAAGGTTATGTATGCGTGTGCGTGTATTGTGCGTGGGCGGTTGTGCGTGTGCGTGTGTGCGTTCATTTGTGCAAATATTCCGTGTATGGTTCGTCTCACCGTCACGGTTTCTGCGTCGGGCCGCACCTCCTGTTGTCACCATTTCAAGTAGATGGTGGTAAGCACACAGAGGAAGCGAAAAACCCTTCAACAAATACCCAAACATACAACAACACCCGCACGCCGCCATCAACACCACCACCACCACCACCATCGACCACCACCACCACCACCATCAGCACCTCGACGGCTGGGGTGTCCATGGCGGGTCGCGTCGTGTGCCACGCGGGCGATCGTGGGGCAGCCGCCACCGGCGCAGCAACAGACCCCGCGTCCCTGATGCGTCGTGGTGATGGTTGTGGCGATGTTATTCAGGGTGGTGATGATGGTGATGGTTGTGGTGATGTTATTGAGGGTGGTGATGGTGGTGATGGTTGTGGTGGTGTTTTTGAGGGTGGTGATGGTGGTGATGGTGAATACGCAGGCGTGTTTGCAACAGAAGGCTGAGGACTGCGTATATGCGTGTGTATGTACATCAATGACAACACAACGGCACTTGTCCACATGTGTGTGTGTGCGTGCTTCCACGTGCAAATGTGTGTTCTCATGGTTCTCACGGTGGGATTGGCGATTGCGATGGTGAGCTGACGCCGCCAAAGGGCGCGGCGTGTGTTGCGACGTGGTGCCGGGACGTCACGCTGGCGGGGACAAAGGTGGAAAGGCAGGAGAAGCTGGCGTCACATCACTCAAAGGGGGAGGGTGACGAAAATTGGGCACACAGACACGCAGCACACATTCGCGCAACACACACACACACACACACACACACACACATCCGCACACACACACACACACACACACACACACACACACACACACACACATCCGCACGGGCATGCAAACGTGTGCTGTGTTGCTTGTTCTTACACTTGGACGTTTGGATCCTGCACAAGTGGCTCCTCCTCGATGGCAATACCCAACTCCTCGTCCTCCTCCGCCAACGTCGGCTCAAGCACCTGGATGTCCTTCAGCCAGTTGGGCTCCGTGCTGTCCACGTGTGTGATGTCGCCAGCACCGGCACCTGCGCCGCTGCTGCTGCCGCTCGCCCGCCCCTCGCGTGTGTCCGTGTCCATCACGTCCAGGGAGAAGATGCGCGGCGATAGCCGGTAGCACGTGCCGTCGTCCTTGTACACATGCGGCTGCAGAGGGTGACACGTGTGTGTGTGTGTGTGTGTGTGTGTGTGTGTGTGTGTGTGTGTGTGTTTGTGTGTGTGTGTGTGTGTGTGTGAATAAGAGCGTCACGGCACTCAGTCACACGACAGTTTTAGCATGTTCTCCATCCCCCTTCCACAGCACACTTGACGGTCGGCCGTGGCTGTACCTTGTCTGTGCGGCCCACGCTGGAGATGAGGTCATTGTCGAGAAGCACCTGCCCAATTTCAACAGCCTGATGACAGCGGTGTTGGTGATGTTGGTGTTGTGGTGACATGATGGTAGTGATGGTGTTAGCAGTGGTAGTTGCGGTGTTTGTGACAAGACAAGCATGAAGAAGCGAGAGAGAGAGAGAGACAGACAGACAGACAGAGAGAGACAGAGACGCATTGTCTGTGTGGGCGGGTGTGCCTGCACTTGCTTCTATTTCATGCCCACCTGTGCTCTGCGCCGGACGTAGGATTGGCGAAGGAGCCAGGACACAAATTCCTCCCCTACAAATGCGTCTTCCACATCAGATGTTTCCTTGGTGGTGAAGGAACAGATTTGCGGCAGTTGTGACAGAGACAGGAGAGGTGTGAGATGGCGGCGGGTTAAACGCATGATGAACGAACGGTGCAGGCCAATCACGTGCAGCAGGTCAGAATGAGCTCACCCAACGCTGCCAACACACACACACACACACGCACACACACACACGCACACACGCACACACACACACACACACACACACGACACACACAAACACACACAGACACACAGACACACAGACACACACACACACACACACACACCATCACACCATCACACCAAACAAAACGCCAGCGCACCAGGAGTTCGATCTGGCCCTTGGAGACGGCTCTGCAGAGGAGCTCGCTGCACACCTTCACCGTGGGCACGTGCTCCGTGCTCGTGCTGCCAAACAGCGACAGCAGCGGCTTTGGTAGACCCGCCCGCCCACGGCCATCCGAGTCTGGAGAGTGGAGGCGATGGTGGTGGTGGTGGTAGTGGTGGTGAGGAGGGTGGTGGTGAGGAGGGTGGTGATATTGAGGAGTTGAAGTGACGGAGATTAGATTGCTGGGGGTGATGGTATTCGATGGATTGGTGTGTTGGCTGAATGGTTCTGCGCACGTGCACGCACAGAAGTTAACACAAACACTATCACACACACACACACACACGCGCGCGCGCGCGCGTGCCCACAAACACGGCGCAACATACCATCGCTGTCTGTGCGCGGGCGCGTTGAGTGGTGCATGGAGGCAAACGAGGAATCAAGTACAGAGACCGGCTGGGCCCGCGCAGACTGCAGCAGCGATAGGAGGAGGAGGAGGAGGAGAAGTGCGTGTGTAAAGGGAGTGCACATGGGTGACTTGGGTCAACGCACGACGTTGAATGCAGACATGCTTGCTCCCATTGCTTTGCGCAATGCTCCACACACACGCACGCACGCACGCACACACACGCACACACACACACACTCACTCACTCACTCACTCACTCACTCACGCACACATAGCTCATCGCCGACATCTGTTGTAATTACCGGCTGTGCCTTTGAGGGCGACGTGACGACGTGTGCGCAGAAGTTGCAGCAGCGAAGGTACCCGGCCCGCCCCACGTAGTGCCCGGGAATCTGATCCCGACAGCACCTGATGCGGAGCGCGCGCGTGTTATTGTGTGTGGGTGTGTGTATGTGTGTGTATGTGATTGTGTGTGTGTGTGTGTGTGTGTGTGTGTGTGTGTGTGGGTGTGATTTCGTATGTATACACGTGTGCGTAGACAGCTACTCACTTGAACCAACGAACCTCAGGCATTCTCCGCACCACACCACACCACCACCACCACACCAAGGGCCCCACCTCCAGCAAAAGATCTGGCCGCACACGCGGCAGTGGTGGCGGCGGCGAATGGCGTGGAAGGGCATACCACACTCGTAACACTCCTTCACGTTGTCGTCAGGCATCCAGTGCTCCCGAAACTCCTGATGTTGCGTTGCGAAAGGTGGCGCAGCGAATACAGCGACGGTAGCAATGGCCATTCGCAGCAGTAGAGGCAGCAGAGACAACGGGCGGTGGTCGTGGATGTGAGCAATGGAGCACTGAAGCAAACACTCTGGCGAACAAGCGACACTAGCAAGGCGCTGCTGCAATTCAACATCACGACACAACAACACGACATGACATGGCGACACGCGATGGAAGCAGCAACACTTGTGGCAGCAAGGAAGACTATAGGTGGTGTCATCACCGCACCTTGTCGTGTGTGGATATGCCGAGCAGCTGAACGCGCCGCAGAACACCCGACATGCGCAGCATACTCGACGACCGTCTGTCGTGCCGACGCAATCGTGAGAGCGTGTGGTGATGACAGCATGGCAGCAAGCACAAGCACAAGCACATGATATGTGTGTGGTGTGTATGTGTGTGTGTGTGTGTGTGTGTGCGTGTGTGTGTGTGGGTGGGTGGGTGGGTGTGTGTGGGTGTGTGGGTGTGTGTATGTGTGACACTCAGGCACTCGCACGCACAAAAACACCAGTACACACAGACGCAAACGCAGATACGCACACACAACACCATTCCTTTGCTTCCGCCGCCCACTCGCTCACTCTCGAGTCGCCGGGGCATCGGTTGCAATGGAGGCTTCCCGGGCACGTGCTGATGAAGACAAGGCTTCTCCGCCTGACGTTGCCGTCGTTCCTGCTACTGTCGTAGCGGCCGCCTTGGATGATGACGATGATGATGCCACCGCAGCTGATGCTTTGCCAGACATGCCAGCACCTCCACCGGTTGCTGGCGCAGAGACAGCGGTAGTGCCGCTACCGGGCGCGCCAAGACGCAGAGATGGGTCAGAGGTGCTGCGACCCTGATCAGACCCCTGACTCGACGGCAGCGTTGCCTGTGTGCCTGTGCCGGCTCGCGATGGCCCCGGCCGCGACAGCCTCGGCATCTTCAGCATCGGGATCGGCTTGATCTTCTCCGGGGCGGGAAACAGGGACAGCTCGTTTGGTTTGCCCTCGGTCACCAAAGGTGGGCGCTCTGGCATGCCCATGGGGACTCTGGCGCCTCGCTTTGCCGAGGATCCCTGCTGCGCCGCCTGCGACGACGCTGGTCGCTGGTGTGACTCTGCTGCTTCGGACGTGGCGACAACAAATTCCTTCTGAGGTCCATGAGGCCTGTGGTGCCGCTGTGTTCCTTGCTGCTGGTGCTGCTGGTGCTGCTGGTGCTGCTGGTGCTGGTGTTGTTGTGGCTGTACCACTCTCTGCTGTGCGTGTGTGTCCGCGGGCCTCAGCGTACCTTGCTGTTGCTGTTGGTGCTGGGCGACGTCTTCGGCACTCTCCACATACCGTGGCAGCTGGCGGTGATGAATGAAACCGTCATGGAACAGCTCGGCCTGCTGTGACGATGAAGAAGGAGCAGACGACGCCGTCGGTGCTTGTGGTGGCGCAGACGACGACGATGACGGCGATGACGATGAGGACCCGAAGGAAAACCAACGCGCCACGGAGAAGGCAGGCGCAGGCTTCACCTCCGATGGCGGCGGCTCAAAGCTCTGATACAACCCCTCCATCGTCGCTGCTGAAAAGTGCCTTAAATCTTCCATAAATCGTCCTGACTTTGAGCAAGCAAGCAAGAAGCAAGCAAACGTCGTTTTTGTGTGTCGCAGAAGTGGAGTGTTCGTGTGTGATTGAGTGCTGTGAACCGAGCCAGCGAACGAGCTCACTGGCAACCAAGGCAAGATGGCTGTGCTGATGGAGACGAGCCTGGGCGATCTTGAGATCGACCTCTACACAGAGGAATGCCCCCAAGGTACATGTGTGTGTGTGCGTGTGTGTGTGTGTGTGTGTGTGTGTGTGTCTGTGTGTCTGTGTGTCTGTGTGTCTGTGTGCGTGTGTGTGTGTGTGCGTATGTGTGTGTGTGTGTGTGTGTGTCTGTGTGTGTGTGTGTGTCTGTGAGTGTGTGCGTCTGCTGTGTGAGTGTGTGTGTGTGTGCGTGTGTGCGTCTGCTGTGTGAGTATGTGTGTTTGTGTGTTTGTGTGTGTGTGTGTGTGTGTGCATTTGCTTGCGAAGCGTTTACTCCATGTCATATGCCCCTCACGGAGTGCAGTCGACTTACGCTTCAAACACACGTCGTGGCGTTCGTGGTGATGTGTTGCAGAGGCCATGAACTTCCTCAAGCTTTGCAAGTGCAAGTACTACAACTTCTCCTTGTTTCACCGCGTTGTGGTATGTGAAGAGAAATTGTGTGATTGACAACATGGATGGCCCCATCGCACGCCTCCCGCCTCATCGCAGTCCGATTCTCGTTTATTTGCCTTCACCCGCCTTTGGATAGAGGAACTTTGTGGCGCAGACGGGCGACCCAACGGGCCGTGGATCCGGAGGCGAATCAGTGTGGGGGTGAGTATCATGTGTGTGTGTGTGTGTGTGTGTGTGTGTGTGTTCATGTGTGTGCTTGTTTGAGCGAGACGCTCACCGCAAACACACACATGAACACACACACACACACACACACACTCTCTCTCTCTCTGTCTCTCTCTCTCTCTCTCTCTCTCTCTCTCTCTCTCTCTCTCTCTCTCTCTCTCTCTCTCTCTCTCTCTCTCTCTCTCTCTCTCTCTCTCTCTCTCTCTCTCTCTCTCTCTCTCTCTCTCTCTCTCTCTATCTCTCTATCTCTCTCTCGCCCGCCGGCTTGTCTCTTCAGCACTGGAAGCCAACGGTGTTTGCGCAGTGCACACAGACGAGCCCTGCACGTCCTTCTGCCCCACCGTCGCCGACACGAGGCAGCCCCTCCCCCATCAAGTCGCCACCGCCCAAGATGGCCCTCTCCCCGGGCGAGGACCGATACAACCCCACCAACACATCGTCGCGTGTAGCCAGCGCACCCATGTCGCCCACATATCAATCGCCCATGCCCTCAGCCAGGCGGGCTTTGCCACACTTCTTCCACACCCACACGGGTATACAGTTGTTGGTGTTGTTTTGCCTTTGTGCACGCATGCATACGTGTGTGTGCTTTGTATGAGAGTGGTTGTGTGTGTGTGTGAGAGAGTGAGTGAGAGAGAGAGCGCGCGCATGTGCGTGTGTGTGTGTGTGCGTGTGTGTGTGTGTGCCTGTTTTGTTGTGTGTGTGTGTGTGTGTGTGCCTGTTTTGTGAGTGTGCGCTGCTTTGTATGTATTCGATACCTGTGCTGCGTGTACACTTGCAAGCTTCAATTCACTCTCATCATGTGACGTTTACCACCCTCCACCGCGTTCTTGTTTGCGATCTACATCAAGCGTTTTTGCGTCAGGCGTGCCAGCAGTGCCACGGCACCATCCTGTACCTGAACAAGTACAGAA